CCTTAAACCAGAAAATCATAACTTGTCTGTAACTGTTGCAGGATATTGAAAGAGTTGACTTTTTGACTATCATTTCATAAAAAACTCTACATAGTGCAACACCATTTGTTGGCAACTGACTCGGAAAGAATATGTCAAACTAGCAAACCATTTGTAGTTGAGCGTGTTGCTTTGTTTGAAGCAGCCATCTTCTTATGTAATATTTTTATACTTTTTTACTATAATAGAAAGAATATAACAAAAATTTAATAATTATCAAATGCTCAAAGCAAAATAAAAAAATTAAGTCTTAGATAATACACCCGCCCCCCATTCTTTCCTAACCCTTTCCTACCCTACTATGCCCAACCATGTCATTACTATTATCAAATTTATACAAATTTAATTTCTGAGCTAAAGTTTACTTAGAAAAAGTTCATTTGAAATTATAGCAAATAAAATGTTTTTGAAATCAAAATAGGCATTTAGCAGCGATTTTGGGTAAATAATGCTGAGGGGGGTTAATCTAAATTTGCTTGTACTTTTCAGTCTTCTGTGAACTATATCGGTTGTAACATAATACTTTATATTATTTGTTTTTAGATCAATTTATAGCTGTATTTTCTATGAAATAAAAATAGAATTACAAGTTTTTAGAAAAATTTTGGTCAATATATATATATATATATATATATATATATATATATATATATATATATATATATATATATATATATATATATATATATATATATATATATATATATATATATATATATATACATATATATATATATTAGGGTGTTTTTATATTTTTGTTTAAAAACACTATATAATAGTGCTTTTAAACAAAAAATCATTGAAGATTATAATAACTGAACTATACAAAGTGATTTATGTAAAAAGTATAAAATATCAAGAGCAATTATAACCAGATTAGTTTATAAATATAAAATGAAAGGAACTGTGGAAACTGAGCATTTAGGTAAACGGCGAAAAAAAAATATTCTGCATATTATTCATAAAATTATTAAATATGTAAAAAAAAAACCATTTGCTAGTGCAAGAGATACAGTTGATGAATTTCATCTAAATATTTCAGGAAGTACTGTACGAAAACAGCAAACTGTACGAAAGTAGGATTGTACAGTTATCACACAGCAAAAAAAACATTTATATCTGAAAAAAAACGAAAAGCATGTTTAGAGTTTGCAAAGACATACAAAAAATTAAAAAATAGTGGAGAAAAATATGAGTCTTAAGTTTAACATAAATGATTCAGATGGTAAATGAAATGTTCAAATGTCTGTAGGTAAACAATTAAAACCAATGAACACTAAAGGAACCTTAAAACATGGAGGTGACAAAAGCTTAATGGTTTGATTTTAAAGATTTTCTGGATTGGGACCACTATATCATATTGAAGGAATAATGAATAAACACATGTAGAACAATATTCTGGAGTGAACATTCTAACAGGATAATGATCCAAAACACATATCAAAACTTGATGTCAAAGTTGACGTAATGCATTGACCTGCACTATCTCCTCACATAAATCCTATTGAGAATTTACGGAAACAGCTTGATAAGATGGTACATTTGCGTGGCACATTTCAAAATGCAAAAGAATTGTATCAAGGATAGTGCCTGGCCACAGATAAAATAAGTTCAAATCGGCAAACTTAAAGACTCAATGCCTCATAGATGTATCGAGGTTATTAAAAACAATGGATATGCCATCAATGATTGATCTTATATGCTTTTGATATGGTGTATTATTAAATTATTTAATATATTTGTGTTCCTTTGAAGTGCTTTTTGATAATTGCATTTGATTAATATGAGTTATTGTTAAAAGTTCCTTTAGTTTTAAAGTTTAAAATAATAGCTTTTTTTTATTTTCTCCAGGGTTTTATTTGTATTCAGGTGTTTTAATATATTTAACTTACATAAAATAGTTACTTAGAACATATGTTTTACTTAGTTATGGAGGACACTGTAGTTCATTAAATATATAAATGATTTTTAATGCCATTTAAAATTAATTACAAAGTTAAATTTAATTTAATTACAAAGTGAGTTGAATTTTCTTACTCTAATAAATATGTTATAAAGTAAAATATATATAAATATAATATTTCCAGTTTTACATATATACACATATATACAAATATATATATATAAAAAATTTTAAATCCATTTGTAAAAAGAATTTTCTTAAACAAAAACACTTCTTCTTTTTAAAAGAAAAAGTACACACACACACACACACACACACACACACACACACACACACACACACACATATATATATATATATATATATATATATATATATATATATATATACATATATATATATATATATATATATATATATATATACATATATATATAAAATAAATTTTATATATATATATATACATATATACATATATACATATATATATATATACTCATATAGTGTCGCTTTAAGAGCATTTTAATGTAAAAAAAGTCTCTTACGACTACAATTTTAATTACCTCGTCTCTTAAGCTGTTTTTGATTGTCATCGAAATGTCAAAGCAATTAATTTATGCGGAAGTACATTAAATTTAATTGTTTTTTAAAAAATTTTTAAAAAACCGCAATTATAACGACTAAAAAGTTTTTTTTAATTAGTGGTGTTTTTGTTATTGATTTAATAAAAAACATTTTTTAAACATGCGTAAATGTTGCTACATCGACTATCTTATAGCCTGACTCGCAACGGAGTGCTGCTACATCGACTGACAAATAGCCTGACTCGCAACGGAGTGCTGCTACATCGACTGACAAATAGCCTGACTCGCAACGGAGTGCTGCTACATCGACTGACAAATAGCCTGACTCGCAAGGGAATGCTGCTACATCGACTGACAAATAGCCTGACTCGCAAGGGAGTGCTGCTACAACGACTGACAAATAGCCTGACTCGCAAGAGAGTGCTGCTACATCGACTGAGGGTTTGGTTTGGCCAGGCAGTCTATCAATTAAAAAAAAAAAATTAATTTTTAAAACTTTTTCTGGTCTGGTTTATTAACGCGCTCTTTAAAACTACAGTTTATGGGAAATATTTTTTGATGCTACGCAAGAGACATGCAAGACTATATATACATACATACATATATATATATATATATATATATATATATATATATATATATATATATATATATATATATGAAACTTAAAGTACCATAGAAAAAGTTGTTTTTTCTTTGTTAATATATATATATATATATATATATATATATATATATATATATATATATATATATATATATATATATATATGTATATCGCTCTATTTGAAATATCTTTTTAATATTGAGCTCTTTTTCGACTTTGAGTTTTGTTTTATTATTATAAGACAAAACAACCTTAAATATCAATATATACATATATATATATATATATATATATATATATATATATATATATATATATATATATATATATATATATATATATATATATATATTATATATATATATATATTATATATATATATATATATATATATATATATATATATATATATTTAAATAATTTAAATATATATATATATATATATTATATATATATATATATATATATATATATATATATATATATATATAATTTTTAAATGTATAATAAATCACTGTGTACCATTGATTGCAAAACATGGTGGATGTAGTTTTAAGGGATGAGACAATTTAAGTTGAAGTGCTACAGATGACATTGTAAAAAAAAAAGGAATAATGACAAAAGTAGTTGGACATTTTTAATATGTCAAGCTAAACTTTTGAAAAGTTGGTTTAATGGAAAACCATTCATTTTTTTTAGAAGTAAACGATCCAAAACTTAAACCCAAAACACATTCTTCAAAATATTGTATAAGTTATTAGATTGAATTAGGGAACAGCCATATGTTAAATAGAATGATTTGGCATCCCTAATGATCTATTCAATTGGACTTTTATAGAATTAAAAGTAATTTCAAAAACTAATGCCTAATGATATAAAGGATGTGGAAAAAACTTGTTTTTTCCACATCATTTGTATCATTAGACATAAGTTAGAGTTTTTCTCCCAATAATCAAACTTTGATATCTTATATTGAAAAATATGACCATATATATATATATATATATATATATATATATATATATATATATATATATATATATATATATATATATATATATATATATATATATATATATACATATATACATATATACATATATACATATATACATATATACATATATACATATATATATACATATACATATATACATATATACATATATACATATATATATATATATATATATATATATATATATATATATATATATATATATATATATATATATATATATATATATATATATATATATATATATATATATATACATATTAGTGCTGGCATATATCTTCGTGAGAGTGCTCAATGAATTAAAGTAAATTAAAATGATTTAAATTAAAACACAGCTGTATTTACATATATTATTTATAAATAAAACTACATATTTTTAACAACTATAAGTTTTCATGCTAAATGCAATCATCAGGTAATTGCATTTAGCACCTGATGATTGCATTTAGCATGAAATTTATAGTTGTGAAAAATATGTAGTTTTACATATATATATATATATATATATATATATATATATATATATATATATATATATATATATATATATATATATATATATATATATATATATATATATATATATGTATATATATATATATATATATGTATATATATATAAATATGTATATATACATATATATATATATATATATATATATATATATATATATATATATATATATATATATAATATATATATATATATATATATATATATATATATATATATATATGTATATATAATAGATACATATTGAAATGCATTATTGAAAACCAACAAGTTTTAGAGAATATATTAAAAACAATCTTTAAAGCAATAAAATGAAAAACAAGTATTGAGTTTACTTTATATTCAAATTGTCTTTTTACTCTAAGCTTGCTTACTTCAAGTTGACTTTCTATGACAGCACGCTCTCCATCTGATTCCTAAATTTAAAATTTAAAAAGGATCTTATTTATTACAGGAGCCTGAAAACTAATAATATTTTGAAAGGTAAATAACAATACAAAATAAAAACAAAAATAAATTGAATAAACTAAAATAATATAAAAACCCGCTACCAAAAAAATAATGCTGGAAAAATGAGAGAGAAAAAGTTAGAGAGCAAACTCGAAATAGTTTGTTCTTTTTAAAGCCAATTCTAACAAACAACTTTAAAATAAATAGTTCAAGTGAGAGCACAACAAAATTAATTTTAATGAAGTTTTTGTTTATTGTAAATTTCAATTATTAAATGTTAGTTATTAAACTTTTATATTACTAAAATGTTTAATAACAATAATAGTTTATACTACAATAAACGTACATATTACTTAATTATATATACAGGCTTGTGCGGGTGTGATTGCACTCGATAACTGACCACGGAAATAATATTTAGTTGCGAAAAACCGGCCAGATTTTTTAGTCGTTTTGAGAACATTTAAGTTTATGTATGTTTCCTTGTTTGTCCACAAAATAATAAGTTCATTTTGTCGTAAATTTTTAAATATTTTGTTTTACGGACTAAATGGAAACATACATAAACTTGAACGTTCTCAAACATCTTAGTGCGGAAAAATAAAAAAAGAATATTCGCGAACACAAAAAACCCGCCAAATCTACGAACAACTAATTCTATTGGTTCAAAAAATACTAACCGAAATTTCTAGAGTATTAAAAAAAAACTAACCAAATGTCCTGAGTATTCTGTTGAAATATTTTAACAAACTGTATTATTTGTATTTTGTTACGTTTTTGTTGAGATTTCTAGCATAAATTATTTTAAGAGTATACTATCAAACGAACTATTATTTTAATTCTTGGAGCCACATCTACAAAGCTATAAATATTTTAAACTAACATTATTTGTTTACAATAATAAATGTTTTAAATTTATATTTTTTAACTTGTTAACGTTTTGTAAATATATTTTAGATTTTATTAGTATATTCTTATTTTTTATTTATAAGGGATGTACTTTTTATGTATGTAATATATTTTTATGTATGCAATGTATTTTTATCTATGTAATTTTATCTATGTGTATTTTATTCAAATGTAATCTTTTAAAGCAATTTGTGCGATTGATTTTGTAAACAAAAATACTTTCAATAATAACTGCGTTTTCAATGAAATTATTAATAATCGTCAAAATTAATACAAATAATTTTAACCACTAATCCATTTTCCTCAGTGTACCTGATAACTGATTCTTTCTCCTTAAGAAAGAAAAGTTTTTAAGTTCTTAGAAATTGGTTTACTAACTTCTATTATTTTTACTTCAGTTATTCTTACAAACTCGTTATACTTAAAGTTACTTTTTTCTGTTCTAAATACTAATTAAAATTATGAAGCCCACTCACTAAACATCATCAGCGGTATCGTGAAGCAGTTCCGCTTCCTCCTCACAAAGTAATTTAACGTTTTTTGTTAATTTCTATCTAGCTAATTGAATTTCTACAGTAACTTAATGATTTTAATTATTTCATTTGTTCATCTTATTAAGAAGAATTGTTTCAAATGTGTTAAACTTTTTAAACTACGCGAAGCATAAAACAGTTATTGAAAAAACTTTTTTATTTATAAATAAATCATCTGGTTGAATCTTGTTGGACTTTTCAGGGCCGGGGGCTGCATTATTTTGGCAGTCTTTTTTATGTGCCACAGCGTAAAAATGACTTGAAAAAATACTGAATGGTCCTCTTGACTATTTCCCCTAACATTGTGAGTCCCGGGGCTATAGCCCTACTACCCCCACCCCACCTCCTCAATCCAGCACTGAAAATAAAACATAAGTATATAAATAAAAATTAAATATATACTTTGATAAATCGAAGAACATTTGTTTCTTTATAGTTGTTACTTTATATAAAAAATGTCTTTATTTTATAAAAAAAGTTATAAAAGAGCGACGTTTTAAAAATAATTGCTCTTCACATTTTTTTGCATTAAAGGCTATTTTTCTTTTTTAACTGTCTCTCGTCGGTCCAGTTAATCTTATTGCGCTTTTTTGTTTGTTTTTGAAATGTTCTCAAAACGACTAAAAAATCTGGCCGGTTTTTTGCAACTAAATAATATTTCCGTGGTCAATTATTGAGTGCGATTGTACCCGCTTCCCGACCAAGCCTGTATATATACAACCCACGGAATTAGGGTCAGCATTCGGCAATGCCAACCTAAAAGTGTTTGGGATCAGCAAAAAATATATATATTTGGGATCAGCAAAAAATATATAAATGTATATTGATCTGTTGAGCTCAACTTATTATTTTTCCTTTTTCTAAGTTTTTTATAAAGTCTGTAGATTGCTTGAATTGCATGAATAAATTATAAAGTCTGTAGATTGCTTAAATTGCATAAATAAATTATAAAGTCTGTAGATTGCTTGAATTGCATAAATAAATTATAAAGTCTGTAGATTGCTTGAATTGCATGAATAAATTATAAAGTCTGTAGATTGCTTGAATTGCATGAATAAATTATAAAGTCTGTAGATTGCTTGAATTGCGTAAATAAATTATAAAGTCTGTAGTTTGAAGATGAAGATGGCAAGCTTTGATTAATACTAAAAAAGTTAGTTTGTCTTGGTATACATTTATTATTCTGTTTTAATCAAAAAAATTCCCAAACATTTTTTTAAACATTCTCTTAAATATGAATACAACTTGTCTTGGCATTTTGGAATCCCTTTGAATGCGTTTTAATTCTTTTCAATGTGCTGAAAGATCTGCAGTTGCAGAATGGGTAATGTCAAATATAGCATAAGTGCTGTAATTATTTCAGTGAACAAGCAACTTATATCACAATATGTTTTTATAAACAAAAATCATTTGATTTGAAAAGACATCGAATATATCTACTTGATTATTATTTTGCAAAGTTGTGGTATGTTTAATTATTTCGTCAGAATCTAATAATGTTAAACTTTTGGGATTTTAAAATAAAAAAAAGCTATTTACTGTTTGCAGGGACATAAAACTAGAGTCTATCTGATTTGTAACATTATTTATAACTATTAAATACATCAATTTTAAGTAGATGTTCAGCTGTTTCAAAAACAAAAATCTACACAACTTTCATCAAACAGCTTTTTTTGTTCTTTTTAGTTGTGCTTTTTTTAAAGTTAATACTTTTAAAATAATAGTAAAAGCTTTTGCTTTTGCAAGAACTTTATCAAAATTATTATGCAGCTTCTGATTTTATTTCATTTGTTTATTCATTTATTTCATTTATTTCATTCATGCAACTTCTGATTTTATTTCATTTATTCCATTCTTTAATAATGAACAAACTTCATCCATGTCTATGTTTTTAGATAAAACTTTATCCATATCTATGTTTTTGCAATAAATTTAAAATAATAATTTATGCTAATATTTTAATAATTGACACCTAAATGCAAAGAAAATCTAAACATATTATCTTCTTTCTTAAACTGGTCCCTTGTGTTATGTCTGCTTTTTTTTTTTTTTTTTGCTTTCCTAAAAACTTTTAGATTAAGCTTTGATTACATCTATATATCTATATTTAATGGCTATAGGGGATGATAATTGAGACGTCCAGCAGGTAGGATTTAGTTTTTTTTAATATTACTTCTGATTCTCTTGTTATTTTTGATAAAATGTTGCACCTATTTCTGTTAATACTAAAAAATGTAATACTAAAAAAAGTTTCTAATATCTACCACACCATTCATAGCATCATTTACAACTAAATTTAAGTTATGGGCAACACAATGAGTATATGTTGTATTTTTTTTCTATTTCTTTTATTCTTGTTAGTGTTCTAGAGTCACTCATGTTGCTTGCCTCATCATAACATTGTCCATACATTTCTTCATATCAAGACCAAATAATTTTAGTATATCAATAATTTGATTTGATATTGCACTTGCTGATTAATTGTTAACTTTAAAAAAGCCAAATATTTTTTCTTCTATCTTTATAAGGAAAGGAGATCCATTCATGTTATAATAAATTTTAAGTTGGTCTGTTTTTTGTTGTTTAAAATAAATCTTGAGTAGTATCATTTTTTTAAAAAAAGGAGACAAATTGATATCAATGATAATTTTTCTTTCTAAACTTTTTGACAAATGACAAGTAACTTCATTCTGAACTTAAGATCATATTCTACTAATTGTTGAATATCTGATAAAAAATTACCATTAAAAATATCTTCAAGATAAACACTTTGTCCTCTAAAAGAACTATAATTTTTTGCTGATTTCAAGTAAGTCTTTTTAAAACTTTTCATCAAAATGTTTTTTTTTTTTTATCAAAATGTTTGTTTCTTTTTATCAAAATGTTTGTTTCTTTTTATCAAAATGTTTGTTTCTTTTTATCAAAATGTTTGTTTCTTTTATCAAAATGTTTGTTTTTTTTATCAAAATGTTTGTTTCTTTTTATCAAAATGTTTGTTTCTTTTTATCAAAATGTTTGTTTCTTTTTATCAAAATGTTTGTTTCTTTTATCAAAATGTTTGTTTTTTTTTATCAAAATGTTTGTTTCTTTTTATCAAAATGTTTGTTTCTTTTTATCAAAATGTTTGTTTCTTTTTATCAAAATGTTTGTTTCTTTTATCAAAATGTTTGTTTCTTTTTATCAAAATGTTTGTTTCTTTTTATCAAAATGTTTGTTTCTTTTTATCAAAATGTTTGTTTCTTTTTATCAAAATGTTTGTTTCTTTTTATCAAAATGTTTGTTTCTTTATCAAAATGTTTGCTTCTTTTGAATATTTTTGAGTAAAAGTTTTTTTTTTGTTGTTCTTTCCATTGTTTCAAAGTTAAACAACCATTTATATGAACCCCAGAAACTTCATGTTTTTTTAATTTTATTTTTTAAAAGCCTTTGCCAGTCATTAATCTTCTGTATCCAATCACTTTTTTTTTCTTGCTTGTAAATAACCAACAAAGTTGACAGTAAACTAAGTTTTTGTTTGGTGAGTAGCATAACTAAGTATTTTTAATAAATATTTATGATTTTTTTAGTAATTCATTGAGAAAGAACAATCTTTAAGAATCTTTTCTGCAAAAGGTAGTTTAAGACGACAAGGACCAACAGATAAAAAGAACTGTTTTTTGTTATAATCTTTAAAATTTGCAAAATTAGAAGGATTTAGCAAACAATTTCAGATGAATATAATTATTTAACGTGTTTCAATTGCACTTTAGCTATATTTGAAATGATTGATATATCTATTTCAGAATACTTTTTGGTCATATTGACATTTTTATCTACTATTTTATTAATATTTTCTAGTTTTGAATTCAAAGATGAAGCAAAAAAAGATGTGAGCCAAGGTATTTTTAGCAGCAGTTTTTCATATGTTTCCTTTTATTTTTTTTTTTACTTTTTTAATTTCATTTATTTTCACCATTGTCTTTTGAAAAATAAAATAATTTTTTTTTATAATTAAACAAAAATTGAAAAAAAATAAAAAATTCAAAACACACAAATTACAAAACATAAATACACAAAAAAGCTGACAACTAAATTCAAATATAGGACAACATAAATACACAAAAAAGCTGACAACTAAATTCAAATATAGGACAACATAAATACACAAAAAAGTTGACAACTAAATTCAAATATAGGACAAAAATGTGCTGTTTATCTTGGTATTAATTTAAAAACTAATTAATTTAACATTACAAAAAAACTCTTTAAAACTTATAAACTTCTGAAGCTTTTAATATTTGTAGAAATAAAAATTTGCTCACAATTAAAGAAATAGTTAAGATTATTACTAAAACTATAAAAAAAAATCTGAACAAATTTTTTTGGCTACACAAAATAGCACAAATTGTTGAATGCTGTTAAATGTTATTTTTTATATTGATAATTTTTCTTTAAAAATTTTCATTAGTTGCTTTGGGCTCTTAAAAATTCTTCTCCCCCTGGCTTTGCTATGCTACTGCTCTCAGCCCCTAAATCTATTTTATGTAATAAAATAATATATATTAAGAACGACCCCTAAAAATAGGGGTTGCTTTTAGATGACCCCTACTTTTAGGGGTCGTCTAAATAGTAACCCCTATTTTTACCTACTACAACTACTACTACTAGGGGTCACTCAAGAGCCTAAAACATTAAACGGGTTCTTAATATTATTATAAAATTTTTCAAAAGTATATCATTGATCAAATTTCAAAAGTATTACCTAAAAAAATTTATCATTAATTATAATTATTAAAATGCACAAACATTTTCAGAATCTTTTGCAATGTCATCATTCTTTGTATCTCCTGCAATGTCAAAAACTGGTGTCATCTCTACAGAAGCATCATTCCTTGTATCTTCTGCTCTGTCTAAAACTGGTGTCATCCCTCCAGCAGCATCATTCCTTGTATCTTCTGCACTGTCAAAAACTGGTGTCTCTCCAGCAGTGCCAGCAACTAAAGTATTCATTTTACATAAAATATCTAAAAGTAATATTATATATAATATAAGCATAAATATTGTAATATGTATTATCTTTTATTATGTTCATCACAGTAAAATATAAAATAATTGGTTGCTATGAAAATAATACAACCTTCAGCAAGATATAGAAAGTGCTGAGGTAAGTTGTCTGAATCTGTGGCACAAAGAAGATATATGAAAGGTGGTAGAAAAACAATAAGACTACAAAAAAAACGCCAGTTGACAGGCTCTACGATAAAAAATGATTAAATTGGTCCCAAAATATGCCATTTGAACAAAAAATGACAAGAGCACAACAGCAATTAAAATTTGTTTGTAAAAGAATTGTTAATAAACCTACCTATATGTTTCAAAGTTTTAAATAGGATTTCAATCCTTTTGAGGATTGCACAACAAGAAGTTGTTAAATGCAAAATGGTAGAAATAAATAAAAAATAGTTAAATGCAAAATCTGAAAATTCTTATGTTGTATCAGGAAGGCTATCAAGAATAATTTTAAAAGTTAAAAAAAAAACATATTTTGTATAAGATAAATATATCATTATTATTGGTTTTATCATGCATTAGATAGATGTGGAGATGCTTAGGCTATCGCTCTCAACATTTCTAAAACTTTTGATAAAGTTTGGCATGCTGGTCTCCTTCATATGCTCTCCTTCTACTGAGTATCAGATTTAAGATTATAAAATCCTTCCATACCATACATTACATAGTATAAAAGTTGTCCTTGATGAATAGTACTCTTCTTCAAACTCTGTAACTTTGGGGTGCCTCAATGTTCTATCCTTGGCCAAACTTACTATCCTTGGCCCTATACTTTTTTTAATTTAGATTTAAAATCTCTTAGAAAATCTAAGATGATTTTGTTCACTGATGATACTACCATTTATTCTTGTCTTGATAACACAACACTCTCTGATTGCTAGGAAAAGGAGAGCTTAAAAAAAGGATCTCACTTCTGCTACAGCATGGGGCTCAGTGGCTAGTGAACTTTAACTCAGATAAAACTCAATTTTTTTCAGCTAACTGTTATCGCAATAATCTAGACCTTCCTATATTTATGAACAGTAATGTACTCGATGAGTCTTCTAGCCTTCATCTTCTAGTATTAACTCTTACTTCTGATCTTTCTTGGAAACCATATATCAAATTGATTGCAAAATTAGCATTTCCTATGGATGCACCACTTTATCATGCTTGCCACTTTCTCACTCAGGATTCTATTCTTTATCTCTATAAATCTCAAATCTATCCTTGTATGGAATACTGTTGCCATATCTGGAGAAGTTCTTCCAAGGATGCCCTTTCTCTTTTAGACAAGGTGCAAAAACTATTTGTAAACATGGTTGAACCTGCTCTTGCAGCCAACCTTTAAACATTATCAAATTTCTCTTTTCTTTAAATACTATAATGGGCACTGGCCCTAAAGAACTAGCGTCTATTGTGCCATCTACTAAAATTCATTATTGTGATAATCATCATTCAATTAAGTCTTATCTTTTACTGAGATTGTTCCTAAGTGCTTCAAAAATTCTTATTTGTCTAGTTTTTTTCCTTGAACATCAGTTCTTTAGAATTCGCATACTTCATCTTGTTTTACGGATTCTTGTAGTTTGTAACCTTATAAGTGGTTCTTTTTATCAAAATGTTTGTTTCTTTTTATCAAAATGTTTGTTTCTTTTTATCAAAATGTTTGTTTCTTTTTATCAAAATGTTTGTTTCTTTATCAAAATGTTTGCTTCTTTTGAATATTTTTGAGTAAAAGTTTTTTTTTTGTTGTTCTTTCCATTGTTTCAAAGTTAAACAACCATTTATATGAACCCCAGAAACTTCATGTTTTTTTAATTTTATTTTTTAAAAGCCTTTGCCAGTCATTAATCTTCTGTATCCAATCACTTTTTTTTTCTTGCTTGTAAATAACCAACAAAGTTGACAGTAAACTAAGTTTTTGTTTGGTGAGTAGCATAACTAAGTATTTTTAATAAATATTTATGATTTTTTTAGTAATTCATTGAGAAAGAACAATCTTTAAGAATCTTTTCTGCAAAAGGTAGTTTAAGACGACAAGGACCAACAGATAAAAAGAACTGTTTTTTGTTATAATCTTTAAAATTTGCAAAATTAGAAGGATTTAGCAAACAATTTCAGATGAATATAATTATTTAACGTGTTTCAATTGCACTTTAGCTATATTTGAAATGATTGATATAGCATGATTATCTAAAAGAAAAATTTGTCACACACTGATGACCATACAATGAGCATAACAGTACCAATGTCTGTAACATGTAACCCAGTAACCAATGTCAGGTCATGTAACCCAGTAACCAACATGTAACCCAGTAACCAATGTCAGGTCAGGTTTATCCTGCTTCTGGTAACATGTAACCCAGTACAATCTGGTTCATGTCCTGCTGCCTTGTAGGATACGCCTTTTATTTAGGCAAAGGCTAGGAGATGCAAATTTTGACATAAAACACCACCTGCCTTGAGGCTCTTGGTTGAGTAAAGGCTAGAAATGGTGTATCGATAAAAATACTCATCTTGGGCAGATATTAAATGCATCCGGCTGCTGTCTTGTAAAAGGCCTACAAGGCAAAGACTTCGGGGGTAAACAAATTCTATCTTTTGACCAGCCTCGCACCCCTTCTTCATCAATTAGGCTGGTGCAGATGTATTTTTAATACATTGCTTCCAGTATAGGATTGTAAATGCTGGATCTTCTTAACTCGATGCATGGGTTTTGCTTGCCTCTCTGTTTTTATGACTAGGCATCTCATTCTATTATCTCCTATTGAGGGTACAGCTCTATAACTCAGTTTTATGGTTCTAAGGCCAGCTGGTAGTTAGGTTTCCCAAACTCTGTGGTAGCTCTCAGAGAGGCTGATTCCATCAACAGCTGAAAAATATCAAAATACTAACAATGCCATGTTGCACATGAATGGTGTCCTTGTTTGTACTTTTGGTATGCATTGCCAAGGCCATAATGGAGCCCTTTGTTACAGCTTAGGGTTTATTAATAGTAATGAGGCAATTGCTTGGGCTATTAAACAGTGTACTGAGTACTATCTATGTTTCAAGTCAAGTTCTTTAACAAATTTTAAAATGAATAAAGTAACAAAAACTATAAAACACAAAAAACTACTATCATCACCAACTTTGCTAAACCTATCATTCACTAATATTTGTGGTCTTTGAAGTAACTTTTCTTCTGTTGAGTCTTATCTCTTGCAAAAGTTTACCAGACCTACTTGCTCTTTGTGAGATTAATTTGAGTTCAGCTGTTTCATCTTGTGATCTTAGTGTTGATGGTTATCTTCCTTTTATTTGTAAAGACTCCAGTAGTCACATGCTTGGCCTAGGCATTTACATTTGTAAGAATTCACCTATTTTTCGGGAAACTAGGTTTGAATCCACAGACTACTCTTTTATAAGCTTTCGTTTAGCACCACTTCACTCTATCACCTTTCTCTTTGTTCTATATGGCTCTCCTTCATCTCAAGACTGCACTCTTCTTGATGTTATTTCTGATTATATTGACCAAGCCCTCATTCTTTATCTATCAGCAAATATTGTTGTTGTCGGTGACTTTAATGTTCACCACACTGAATGGTCTGGCGCTAGTGTCAGTGACTCCGCAGGCATTAAGGCCCACAACTTTTGCCTTTCTCAATCCCTAACTCAAATAGTCAACTTTCCAACTCCCTTTCCAGACAACCCGAATCATTTACCTTCTCTACTCTACTTATGTCTTGTTTCTAATCCTAGTCAGTGCTCAGTTTCACCACACTCACCCTTAGGTGCTTCTGATCATGGTTTGGTCTCTCTAAAACTATTATCTCATTCTTCTTTACCATCAGAATCAGGGTTGGAAAAAACCCAGGGTTTTTTAAAAAAACCCAACCCAAATGGGTTTTTTTTGGGTTTTATTGGGTTTTTTTGGGTTTTATGGGTTTTTTGGGTTTTTTTAAAAATCAATCAAAATACCAAATTTTTATAATTGTATGAGTACAATAATTTTTTTTTTTAATTTCATAAATTCACCTCCCTATTGCTCCAATGACCATTTCAGTCAAGGGAGCAACTCATTTTTTAAAAATATTTTGTCTCAATCCTTAACATTACCATTTTTACTAACAAACAACATTAACAACTAAAATTTTTAAACAAAGGCGCTGTGTGGAGAAATAAATTGAGACAGTAATTTCAGCAGAAGTAATTTGAACCCCAACCTTCTGGTTGCGAGCCAAATGTTTTACTACTAGTCTACTAGCACATTTTACCTATAGTGCAAAAAGGGACTCCATCAACTATAAATGATGTTAATTAATTGCTCTAAATTAAAAACATGTTTAGAACATCTTTGACCAAAAAAAAATCAGTGTAAAAATTATGACAATTGAGTTATTCAAAGTTGGTAAGACAATATAAATGTTGCGAACTAGTTTTTTTTACTAACATGTTCAAAAACTACTTTGCACAAGTTTACAACATGTAATCAACAAGTTTGCAACATGATGTTGCAACCTTATAAGTTATTATCAATCAGGATGACTATGAACACTGTTTAAACATTTTTGTATCATAGAAGAAAACTGCTAGCCTAATCACTACATTTTTTTTTATCAGAACATTATACTGTCTAGCTTCTTGGAAAAGTTATCGGCCTGATCAACTGGACTGGCAAAAAATGGATTTTTGCCTAAACTTTGTTTCTAAATAAATTTAAAGTAAATTTGTTAAGAACCATTACAGTGTCTTCGCCACCAAGTTTTTTTTTTTCCTTGAAGATGTTTTAACGGCTCAGTTTTGCAATGCAAATTGCAAACTGAATCAAAGTAACACATTATATAGCTCTATTGTGTGTGTTTCTTCACCTTTTAGCAACTTGATACTGATGTTAATTTTCAACCCGCTGTTCATAGTCACGCCTGTTGGTGGTACATGTTGTAAACTTGTAGCTGATGCAAAATATTCAAAACCTGTTAAATATTCAAAA